ATACATATACATATACACATATATGTATAGATGCACGCATGCATGCATGCATCCATAAGATATATATAACTATATATATATATATATGTAGTATGCATCTATTTATATATATATATATCAATCCTATTTACATATCTTGCATGCATGGATAGCTGGATGTATGAATAAACTTAAATAGATAAATATGTCTATATACATGGAACATATGTACATATGTGTGCACATGACCATACTTTCTGATATTATTATTTATAATTAGATCCAAGCCCCTGCATAGGCGACTTCGCTGGGCGCATGGTCAGTGAACAGCAGTGGCACCTGGGTTTCCGATGGCAGCTGCGACCGATCCAGTGAAGGGTGGGGCTGGGATGATAAGTCATCTTGGGGCAGCTCCTGGGATTATACGTCATCTTGGTCCAACGACCACTGGGGCAACAGCTGGGGCTGGGGCTCTCGGGGTTCCAACTGGTCTTGGAAAGATTGGGGAACTGAAGCAAATGATCCTTCGAGTTCTGATCATGAGTCCGCCCGAGTTCAAAGTCTCCTGATGCGTGGCCATACTATTGATCAGCTCTCCCTGGACGAATTGAAGTTCATTGTGACTCATGTTGATTCCCAGCAGCAGAAGAAGGCCGCCGAAGAAGCTGCAGGCAAGCCTCAGGCAGGTTCTATACATTATATTTCTAATTCATAATTATGGGGTTTAGGATCGGGGATTAAATTATGGTTTAATATTATAAATTATAATTATATAGCCCTGCCTCCTAGTTATAAACCCAAATTTGAAACCCAACTTTGGGCAATGATTCCTATGTACTTATTACCCGTGGTGTCCATTACAGGAAGCTACGCACGGCAAGAAAGCGAAGACGCATGAGGAGCAGCAGCAGCAGGGTCAAAGCAAGCAGGATGAAAGCAAGCAGGATGAACGCAAGCAGGATGAACCCAAGCAGGAGGAAAGCAAGCAGGAGGATGCAGATAATGATGAGAAGGCATCCGATGAAAAGGTTGCAGAGACGAAAGAGCAGCGCAGGAAACGCTTGCATGCGAGAAACATGCGTTTCTACAGGTCGTTCGAGTCTCCGAACTGCCCCAAAGAAATCAAGAAGCTCGCGAGCAAAGCAAGCGGAGACAGCAGCAAACGCAGCTTCCTTTTCGAGAATTGGTTAACGTCTTCAGAGAGTTGGATGAAATCTTCGCTTCTGCAAAGACTCAAAAGCAAGAACAGCAACGCCAAGCGTGGACTTCGCCGATGGTTGACCAAACAAGAGATGGTAGCGAAATGGGGAGAGGAGATCGCGCAAGCGATGATCGAGACTAAAGAAAACGACGATGAAAAGGCTATGACCGAGATCAGGGCTCACCCGGAGTTGCCGCTTCGGGAGGACTACTGCATCGTATCATCTTGCATTTCACTATATAATATATAATATATAATACACCACAGAAAAATGATTGGATGTTCGAACAGGACCTCAAGCAGTACCTGTGCCTCTGGGACTCCAGTGTAGAGGACGTGGACCAGGAAGAGCTGGAGTGCGTTTTTGAAGCCGGACCAGATGAGTCGAGCTCCAGCGACTCAGATGATTCAAAGAAGAAAAAGAAGGACAAGAAGCACAAAAAGAAAAAAGGCAAGAAGGCAAAAAAGGACAAGGGCAGCCCAAGCCCTAAGAAGCCAAAAGCAAAAGCTAAGGCAAAGGGAAAAGCGAAGGCAATTGCCGAGAAGGTGGGGCACGATGTCATGTGGGTTTTGTGGGATATGATATAATTATATATATATATATACCCAGGAAGATATTTCCATAATGAGTTCTTTGGCTTGGTATTATATTATAATATGTTTGATGCGAGGTATATGGCATCAACATGTTCATCATTTATAATATATTTCTGTCTAGAAAGGAGTGCAGAGACAGTGAGAGAGTGAGAGAGCCAGAGCGAATGGCAGGGACAGGGTGGAGAGAGAGAGAGAGAGAACAAAGCTAGCACAGAGGGAGACACAGAGATAACTGAAGGGGGGGGGGAGAGCGACAGGGAGACCACAACGGGGCAGGGAGGAAGCGAGGGAGGGAGAAAGGGAGGGAGGGAGACATGAAGCGGCAAGATCTTATATATATATATATATATGCTTGCGCAGGAGTTGACTGCAGAGGAGCAAGAGCAGAAGTTGCTGGCCGAGCGGAAGACCAATTCCACCAAGGCTTGAGTGCAAAGTTAGGCCAAAAATATATACATATATATATGTATATAATGGGTAATTAAGTTCGGGGCTTAGGGTATATGGGCTCAGGGTTTAGGGCTTATAGGGTTTATGACTCTAGACGTCATTTGCGCATAGGTTGTGTATATATCTGTATCTCTGTATATTATATATATATATATATATATGTCTTGCGTATTTATAATACCATGTGTGTTTTATTTTTGGTTAAAGGGTCGATGGTTTTAAGTGCATATATGTATGTATGTATGTATGTATGTATGTATGTATGTATGTATGTATCTATATATTAATTATAATTATAATTATGTCCTGGGATCTATAAAGGGAATGTATTAATATATAGTATAATTAATTCCTGTGCTACTACAGGCAATTGCAAAAGCCACGGAGAAGATCAAGCTTGAGGGCAAGATTCGCAAGGAAAAGGCAGTGGAGGGAATGCTCCTTGCATTATTATTTATGATGGCGGCAGTATCGTACACCGTGCACCAAATCCGAAACTCCTATATAATAACCCTAGTTCCCTAAACCCTTTTCGCCAACAGCTTCCTAACCCCGACTCCCTCATTGTAATGATAATTATTTAATTATTATAAACCCCTTCAATCCGAAACCCTAGCTATATATTATTATTTTTGCCCGAATCCCTCACCGCTATACTCAGGGGCGACCACTTGCTTGCAGCGATGAAGGGCGATCTGGCTGCACAGGACCCGAGCACTGCAAACCTTCTTTAAGAGTGTTTTCGAGGCTTTGAGTTTTAGTACGTATATGGGTTTGCAAATTAAACATATAGAGGGCACGTATTTAGAAGAGGGTGCTAGATCTAGCAATTTTGCAAACGTGCCACAGCCAGGCGCTGAAGATTTCCGAAGCCCGCGGGAGGCTCCAGGGTGCCGTGGACAGCGACGAGGCTGCCCAGATGCCTCGGATAATATATCGAGTAGGGAGGATGGAATTATCGTGGCTTAGGCTTATTATTCTAGGGTGTAGGGGTTATAAAACTTGAGATTTGTCGGTTTAAACATCTTTGTTNNNNAACAAAGATGTTTAAACCGACAAATCAATGTGTGGATCCAGGAATTCGGGCTTGCAGCTGACATGTAACCCTGGGCATCCCAACACTCCTAAGCTCTGATCTTTCATCCCTACAACACAACATTAGATAACAGAGTGGCCTACCCCCACAAAGCCTCCTAAAGGGTATCCCGAACCTCCCTGTGGCCATTGCAGCCAAAGTTGAAAGCCCTTATTGCGGATCCCGATTAAAGGTATTGTATAATCCCAGAATTATAATAACTCTTTTGTAAAATAAGATTCACTCCCAATAAAAAACCAGCCACCTTAACATAACTAAACCCAAACCCCTAAACCCTGCTATAGGATAATGCAATGTCAGGTCGATGATGATGTGATCGCAGCTTTGACAGCTGCCTGTGACAAGTTCGATGCAATCCACAAGCGTTTTCAGAACAACTCTAAGCCCCCGAAAGGGGAAGCGAAGAGCAAGGCCAGCAAGAAGAAGTAGCGAGCCATACTATGCAGCAATATCCTTCGGGACCAATGCAATAATTAAGCAGCTTCGTAGTTCGATCCAAGCTGTTGCAATTGGACTTCGCTGCTCATGCTTGCTGATGCTGATTTTGATCATGATCAAAGCCAGGGATAACCTTGGCCTTCTCACCTGTGCCTGCAACAAACTGGCCCCGGAAGCTGATCAGCTAGCTACTGAGACACCTGTCTGTAATATTATGTGTTCTGAGCCTGGAACGTCGCAGTAGCTAGGTGTTTTTATGCCACTGTGTGATCCGCGTAATTATATATTTTATGGTCAACAACCTCTAGGCCAATCCTCTATGAAGTACCCCAAGCAGACACCTCTGAAATCGACACTCAAATATCCCCAATCCCATAAACCCGAGTTCGAAATCCCATGCAACTCACATATAAAACCATGGAGCACCAGCTCAAAGTCCGCGCAGATGTCGGAATAAATTATATTTTCTAATATGTTTGTTTTTAGGAGGTTCAGGGGATGGGAAATTTAAAAGGGGCATTTGGGCAAGACTTGTACTTTCAATTGTGCGATGCTAGAATCTCCGGATCCCGATGTTCCGACTAAGCTGCCCCACTACAGCTACACCTCTGCAGCTAGATCCCTAGAAGGCTTCTATATCCCAACCCACCTATGTATATAATCTCAACCCGAGTCTATTATATATATATGTCTATATATTATTCTATTATAAATAAATAAATACCATGTATTATTATTATGATAGCCCACGAACAGCCCAGAGACCCGTAGCGAATTTATCAGAAATCCCAAACCCGCTTATAGATGCCAGGGCCCAGCCATCATGAGCATTTCCAGATCATCTCGAGCTGTGGGAGCCAGGGGCAGGGGGCAGCCGTGGACGCTGCAATTGCCGCCGCGGAAGCACACACACCTTAGCTTGTATATAAAGTGCAATTTAGCCTGTACGGCCAAGACATGACTGTTTCTGGTGTGTGTGGGGGTAGAGGCAGTGCAGCATATATCTGCTCCATAGGCCCTGTTGAGTGCCAGCGGATCGGGGTCATTCGACGACATTCAAAACAGCTATAGTCGAAGCCAGTGTGATCATTACATTGACGAATAATCGAATTCTACATAGCCTACTCCGACCCACGCCAGGGTCGAATGATGAGAACGATGGCGATACGGCCAAAGGGCTATTGCAGAACATCCTGGAGCGGGTGTCCAATGGTGACTCTTGGCGCGAATTATGTACATCCTTGATAATTTGCCGACAAATCGCAGCATCTGCCATGGCAGCCGTTGTGTCGCAGCCCAGTCCTGAGGCTGAGACAGTTGGTTCTGCTATGCAGAATGCCCGGGCGAGCTTCGAGGAATAGGGGTATCTTCATGCAACCGAATCCTGGCTTCAGGGACGCATGTCGAGTTGCTGATTGCAGGAATCTGGACGGCACTTCAAGGGCAAGACTATGTCTGGATTGATGCAATATAAACCTGGGAATGATGCGAGGGACTTCTTCAAGCTCGTGCCTTTGCCTCTTGAGCCTGGGACTGGACTGTGAAAAAGGTTTTGGGGGACGGGATATGACCAAGGCCTGTTGTAACCCTGTTATAACCCCATTCTTCCCTGACTATCCGCGTTCGAGTAAACCCTGTAGCCCAGGAACCCACGCAAGTCCAAACCACAATCTACGAGGGCTATGAAGGGGACGCCCGCCAAGAAGTGGAAGCTACAATACCGGTTTTGGATGTGCACGAGCTCCTTGATTACCTTCAATCGGAATTGCACCTGGTATGCCCAGCGGAGAGCACTCAGCAATTTTGGGAGCACTTGCGAGATCGTGGCAATCCCTTTGCGTTGGGTTTTCCGGGCTCCGACAAGCACGTGCCGTTCACAATCTATGGCGATGAGCTCACATTGGGCAAGGATGCCAAGGATAAAGTGACGGGCGTGTTCTTGCAGCTGACCTTGTTTAAGCCTCGGTCAGCACGCCAGGGCTTGTGGCTACTGTGTGCAATTCAAGATGCCGTCATGGTGCACAGCAACATGAAGACCCTTAAGCCCGTGCTGGAGCACATCATATGGTCTTGCAATGTTGCCTTCGACGGGCGATACCCGCGCCTTTCCTCGAATGGTACCCTTCTCCGAGGTGCCAAAGCCCAGAAAGCAGGTCAGGAGTTTGCTGGCGGCGCCCGATGGGCTTGCAGCGAATTTCGAGGTGATTGGAAGTGGCACGAGCGCACGCTGAGACTGTTGCGAACTCCCGTTTCCAAGAAGTGCTGCTTTCTCTGCGATGCAGAGGCCACTGACCAGGCACTTCGTTATTACGACGTTGCAGATGGAGCAGCTTGGCGAGCCTCTCAGCTGGACACCAATGGTTTTCTTGCGAAGGCCATTCGGCCTGGTGTGCAGAGTATCCTCGCGATGATTTCGATTATAGTTTTGTTTTGAGGTATTTCTGTTTTAAATATTAGAAATCAAACATGGACTCCAACCCCCAATCAAAGGCCCTCTGACTCAGCTCAAGGGCTTCGACATATCTATGGTGAAGTTCTGTTCCATGCATGTCTGCAACCTTGGACTGGTGCATACAGCGAGCGGAGGGGCACTGTGCCTAGGTCTGTTTTATTCGGCCTTTTCCCTTTGTCTGGGAATGAATTATAGTTACGCATCGTAAACTCATCCAGCTTGCACAGCATAAACCCTAAACCATAAACCCTAAACCCTAAACCCTATTGATTCTGTACGTATCCGAGGGAATCCTTGCTACGCGAGGGACACTTCGGCCCTTTTGATGGGGGTGCTGCTAATATGAAGAGCTGCCTCGAGACTGCATTCCAAGAGTTTCAACAATGGCGCCGATCAAACAGAATTGCCTGCAGCCAAAGGAGTTTTGCACCCCGGCATCTCTTGAAGAAGGTTCATGGGTATTATCTGACAACAAAGGCGTATAATGCAAGGATTGTCATGTTGTGGCTGGCAGAGAAATGTCGACAAGTGGCTCTGAATGCCCCTGCCGACTCACATATTCCTTTGCATGCCACTGCACTGCTACTCTGCTGAATTTAAGGACGCTATCCCCATATCCTCCTTTGCCAAACAGGAATAATATACGATCCCTTACGGCAGCCCCTCCAAGTAATTATAATCATTGCAGTTGTGGATCCGAGGACCGCCTTCTCGAAGTGGTTCAGTGGCAATGAGGCCGCGAAGCGGTACTTGCAGCTTCCATGGCAAATTAGCACAGGTGCGACACGAATTAGGGTGTAGGGGTTTCGGGTTTTGGGTTACCCTAAACCCTAACCCTAAACCCTATAATAATAAACCCTAAACCCTAAACCCTAAACCTTAAACCCTAAACCCTAAACCCTAAACTCTAAACCTATGGCTCAGACCTGTGCTCAGGACTCAAAGTCAATCCGATGAGATCTATGCCAACGGCATGCTTTTCCTGAAATGCCATCTGCGACTGACCCAGATATCCCATCGGTTCCTTGGGTCGATGATATTATCCTGCGTTTTTTCTTACTTAAAATTGTAAATGATCAATATTGGCAGGAGTTTAGACCATCTATATTATTATTATTTATAACCCCTAAGCCCTAAAGGCCCAAAAATACCCAATTATCAAAGCTGAGGCTCAAGATCCTGGCATGGGTGCTGAAACCCAAATTTCATGCAACCTGACTTGAATAATGGCTGGGCGAGTGTCCCTATATGGGCACACAAAGGGACACCATACAATCCGAGGCTATGCTTCATTTATTGGAGCAGAGCCACAAATGGCGCATCCTGCCAGGAATTCGATTAGAAACCCTAAACCCTAATACCCTAAACCCTGGAAACCCCTAAACCCTAAAATGTGTTGGACATGGGAGCCGAGGTTATAATACTCGGTACACACACTGTTTTGCTGGGGAAGATGCCATGGGATGGCTAAAGAGTCCGAAGCTGAGTTACGTTGTCCTCATCATCATACTCATAGTACGAGCATGAGCATCAGAGCATCATGATCAGATTCCCGAGGGGTCTCTCTTCGCGCTCCGCGCAAGCCTGGTGCATTCAATCGCTGGGTTTTGCGGATGGGTATGCTCAAAGTCGTAGCTGCGAAGCGCCGCTTGACAAGGATGCTCGGCTACATTATAATTGTAACTAGTTTGTTTTCGGTTCTATGCAATGACTGGAATTTCAAGTGCCCTTACCCTGGCCAATCCAGGCGAGTGCGTGAGGCAGCCTGGAAACGATAGGCCGCATGCTTGCAACACATCTGCATATCTTATTGAAATTCGGGGTTTTCTAGGGTTCTAGCCGCTAGTTCCAGGCTCACTTTAATCTGATTCCTGTATGCGTCTAAGCCAAGGCAATGTGGAAATGATGGATGAGAGATGATGAGTGCTTGACCGCATCTAGTCAGCAATTCGCTGCTTCGTCTTCTGATCTTTGTGCGATATACTGAATGGAATGACACGCTAAGGAAGCAGAGAATGAGCTGGAGAAGCAAGATCTGCTCAGCTTCGGGGGCCAAAAAAACGGATGCCGCTTAGGGTTTAGGGTTCAGGGTTTAGGGTTTAGGGTTTAGGTTTTAGGGTTTAGGGTTTAGGGTTTAGGGTTTTAGGGTTTAAGTTTTATAGGGTTTAGGTTTCAGGGTTTAGGGTTTTAGGGTTTAGGTTTTAGGGTTTAGGGTTTAGGGTTTAGGGTTTTAGGGTTTAAGTTCTAGGGTTTAGGGCTTAGGGTTTAGGGTTTTAGGGTTTAGGGTTTAGGGTTTAGGGTTTTCGGGTTTAAGTTTTAGGGTTTAGGGCTTATAGGGTTTAGGATTTTAGGGTTTAGGTTTTAGGGTTTAGGGCCTAGGGTTTAGGGTTTTAGGGTTTAGGTTTTAGGGTTTAGGGTTGAGGGTTGAGGGTTTTAGGGTTTAGGTTGTAGGGTTTTGGGTTTAGGTTTTAGGGTTTCCCTCAACATGCCCAAAACAAGCCTCTGACGCAACCGCCTCGTTTTCTCTGTCGGTTCCTAACCGTCTCGTTTAACGAGCATGATAGACGAGTAGGGTTACTCACTGAGCTCTACTGAGCGAAAGTGGAAGTCTTGGAGACCACAATGCAATGATGAACGACTTGCGAAGCTCATGCGGAGCCATAGTTCGTGCACAATGTCTTCGCATTATCTTTTTATCTGCATGCTAACTGGAGCAAAAACTTCTCTGGAAACGTGATGCAGCACACGACGTAGCACTGGGCAACCAGCTGTTTAAATAATGCTGATTAAACACTTACAGAACCTTTATGTAACCGTATTATTTCACTAGGTTCCCAAGTTATCGCAGCAGCCAGCGAGTCCGGATCATGGACTTCATCCGGGAAGACGTGGCCTCGCTGGAAAGCCTCCGACATAGTGAACTACGTTCGAATTCCAAGCACGTCTGCCGAAATACCGACACCGCCTCCACACGTATCAATGCAACGATTCCTGACCGCTGTTGCTGCTACCTGCTGCTGCCTACTAAGACTGTGACGACGACTACTACGACGGGGTTCTGGGGCCGCTGTGGCAGCAGAATACGAGAAACCAAAACGTGTTCACATCTTGAGACATTAAGAGACATGATGTCGGGATGCGCCTTGGCCAATGGCTCGCGCTTCGTGCTGTGATATACGTCCTGAGCAGATCGAAACCCATATACATAAGGCATCTCGCTCTGCTTAAATATGGAGGTTTAGGGTAGGATTTGTATCGCGAAGTCTAGAGAAATGCCCGATGGCCTCCTGGCTTCCTGATTTGCACCCGCAGTTTGTCAAGGCCTAGGATTCGTTGTTGCACTGAAGAAGACTCCGACCGCTCACAGCGCTTTTCGCACACAGTTATCAATGATGTGCTGTGCTTTGCTAGGCAGGTGGTGCTGCCGGGTTGAAAAGCAAACAGCTTAATCGTCAGTACGGCCATGAGTCATCCAAAATGACGGAAAACACTCGCCCTGCTATGGAAGCAGTTATGACCATGCACAAGGCGGTCTGCAACCCGCCAGTCTGTTGCAGCACTAGTCGTTGCGAACTCCCTGGCGGTGTGCGAGAACCCTTCTTGATGCAGAGATGTTACACTATGCCTGTTGTCTGACGGGCTGGCAATGCACGGGATCCGTCCAAACCCGGGCAGTCGCTCCGAAAATCACTCGTCCAGCGGAGAAGCCTCCCCACGTGCATTGATATATTCGGCGACACCGAAGAGTTGGCCGGACTTGAAGTTCTGCGCCACATCTTCATCCTGCAGAAATGGGCTTTTGGGAGATTTGCTTCGGGCCTATAACGGTTTAAAGTTACGGGTGCAAGGCTAAGAAATCTCAAAGCCAATGAGGTCAGGGTCCTTGTTCGTCTTCTTGCCGTACCCTTCGCCAGCGTCTGGGATCTTCGAGTTCTTGAGGCCCCAGTGAGTACCTTCCGATTTCCCGCAGAATCGATAAGATAACGTCTTTCGTTTCAGCATCTTAAACGTGGAGAAGTGCAGAATATAGGTACTGGACATGGTGGTGCCGGTTGTGGCACCGGATCAGAGTGTGCAGCCAGGTCGAAACTAACAACACGGAGCATACTGCGTAATTGGGCAATGACTAAGGCCATGCTGCTGCTAATGCAGCTGCTGCTGCTAACGACAACAACAACATCATCAGCAACAACAACTGCTACTGGTGCTACTACCACTCCCGCTGCGGCTCATGCTCATGCTCATGCTACTGCACCACGACTACTACCACTACTACTAGTACTACTACTGGTACTAGTACTAGCACTGGTACTAGTACTAGTACTCGTAGTAGTACTAGTACTAGTACTGGTACTAGTACCACTACAACTACCAGTACTACTACTGCTAATACTACTAATAC